AGGATCCAGGATCCGCATGGGGTGGGTGGGGTGGGGGGGTGCAAGGTGTGAGGACAGGGCAGGGCGTGGCCCGGGGCCTGCGGGGGCAGCGGGTTGAGGGCTGGGGGGAGCGTCTCCTGAGGAGCCGACACTAGGGCTGTGCTGGGGACGCAGGATAAAGCCCACGGCGCAGAGGGACAGCCCGGCAGTCAGGCCCCGTGGGCACGAGGCAGGTGCTGTCCAAAGTTCGGGAATGTCGTCTGCAGACTTCCATGGGGAGCGGGAGCCCCAGTGCCGGGGAGGGGGGTGGGGGGAGTCTGGTCCTCCTTGCCCCTCTCCTGTCCAGGCCATGGGCCTGCGCACCTCTGGCAGGCACCTCTCCAGGGCTTTGCCAGCCTAGCCTCTCTGGTTTGTCTTCCAGGCATTAGGAAGTCACCCTGAAGGCAGCAGTGGGGGGGAAGGGAGGGCTGGGGTGGCTTCTGTACCCCAGCTGCCCACCCCCCACACATGCCCGCCTCCCTCCAGGCACCCTGCTGGCCTGTGAGCTCGTGCACTTGCTCCAGTTTCCATTTAGTTGCCTCATTAGGAGACTGTGGCTGAGAGGGAGAGGGGCCTGGAGGGCCATGAAGGAGGAGCCACACTGGCCCGGGGCCTTGAGTAGGGGTGTCCTGGGTGGGGAGGGAGGGAGCTGGGATTGGGCTTCCCGCCTGGTCCCCACGTCCCAGAATTGCCAGGTGCCATGAGCAGAGCAGGGGCTCTGGAGGGAGCACAGACGAAGGGACGGTGACCTTCCCAAGGCCTGGCAGGTCACGCAGGGTGACCCTTGCTTCCCGCAGAAAGTCAGGGCCTCAGCTGCTGCCACGCTGCCCTCTGGCTCGCCCACTTGAGTCCCCTGCCCCTGCCTCGCGCTATCCTCCTCTCAGACTCTGTGTTTATGTGGATAAATTCACCCACTCGCACATTCCATCCCCATGTCCCGCCGCTCACCGTGCCCGCGGCCTTCCCTAGCGCCAGCTCACAGGCCTACGGCCACGGCCACGCCAGGGCCTGAGCAGGCGGAGCCCGGCGCTCCACACAGGCGCCGCCCTCCTCCCTGCACCCGCTTGACCGGAACCTGCCTGCATAATGCACTGGGCACACGGCTGACCCCCAACCAGGGCTCGCTGTCCATCAGAGCGCCGGGAAGGGCAGGTTATGGTGGGCTCGGAGGGGATCTCTGGGGAAGAGCCGGGACTTGCAGCGCGCACAGTGAGCTCCCGGGCTCAGAGGCGCTCACTGTCCGCCCCGCCGCATGGGCCGCCTCCGCAGGTGGGGTGAAGACGGGGGCATGACCTTGAGAAGCACGTGCGTGGACGCTGCTGAAAACCCCGTCTGACCACGTCCCTTGCGGCATGAGGCAGGGGGGGCAAGTCGGATAAAGCGGAAACGGGGCTGAGGCCAACGGGGGTGAAGCAGGAGAGGGTGAGCCGGCCCCCCAAGGCCAGCGTGACGGCGGCAGCCTGGGTCCCACGCGGTGACTGAGCCGATGAGGAGGGCCGCGGCGCCCTCGCTGTCAGCCGACAAGGTGCCCCTGAGTGCGCCGGCCCTGCCTCGAAAGCTTCAGTCTTATTCTCAAGACACAGCTGATAAAGCTGGAAGGCGGGGTGCTAAGCCTGGGGCTGTGGGTGACCTGGGGGGTGCTTCTGCCGTGGTCGGGGCACTTGTGCCGACCGGCGCGCTTGAGCAGGGGTGTCCGGGAGCCTCGCGGGCCGGGCTGCGCCACCTCCTCACTGGGACTCCATCTGGGGGGCGTGAAAACACAAAGTTTTCTAAAAGACGTCACTTGACAATTTCACTCCGGCAGCTTTCCCGGGTGCACGCCCAGGCTCAGGGGCGTGTCCGCACCGGAGTGTTCGCGGTCTTTCCCCGGCCTCCGAACGGCAGCAGCTGCTGCTCTGAACGAGCCCTTGAAGACCTGTCTTGCTCTGGGGAACAAGCGAGCCGGCAGGGAGGGGGGCCGGGGAGGCGCCCTCAGAGGAATGCTTTCATGAGCCAGCACTGGGGCCTTCCCGGCTGCCTGAGTTATTTGTCTCCTGCGCAGGAGCCGTTCTTCCCCGGACAAGCCTTTTCGTTCTTTCTACAGGTTTTGCAGACAACGAAACGTGTCATTTCTGGGACTGTGTAAGTGTACTGGGGGGGGGGGGCGCATTATTCCCCTCTTAGGCGTATGCGCTGGAGGGAGCCCTGTCGTATGAGAATGAAGAGAAGCCGAGAACTCAGTGCCCCAGCCCTGCAAGTTAGTAGGAGGCTGGGCGCCATGTCAGCCTTCGTCTTTGACGTCTGTGTCTTGCTAGCCCCTGCGGAGCATCGTCTGGCGGCCGGGGACACGAGTTCAGGGGCCATCTGCCAAGGGACACGCAGACATGCACATCTGATCCCACGTGGGGGGTTCAAGAGCATCTTCCCTGTAAGGGCCACGCACGAGCTGACTCTTAAAGGCGGATGAAGGCTCAGTCAGATGGTCTGTGTTCCCGTGTCCAGAGAACACGCCAGACACAACGCCAGCAGCGTGCCCACCGTCGTGCTGGGCATCTGAGGGCCAGGATGTGGCAAGAGATGATACTAGAGGGAGTAGGGCCAGCGGACGGAGGACTCTAGACTGGGATTTTACTTTATCTTGGAAGCCGCGGGGGGCACTGAAGACCTGAGGGCCAGCCAGGGTACTAAGCAGTCACTGAGGTGGAAGCACCTGCGCTTACAGGAAATGGCGGCCAGAGATCCACAAGACACCTGGAAAGTGGAAGCCTCGGGATTTGGTGGTTGGGGGTGGGGCGTGAGGCAGAGAAGGGCATCTGATGATGGAGATTGCCCGAAAAGGGGCTCCTGGTCCCGAGTTTAAAGGCGAGAATAAAAATGAGCAGTAATTTCTGAGGCATGGGGACTCATCGGGGTGACCTCGGGTGAGGGTGGCGTCTGCTAGGATTCTCCTCGGCAAAGCTATTGTTTCTCTTTGAAATTACTAAATAATTTGAAAAATTTGAGATCAAGCATCCTTTTTTTCCTTAAACTTTCCCCGACTAATGGTGGTTCCTGCTTACAATTATTAGATGATGTTCGTGTTGATTTTTCTATTTTCCTTGCCATTTCCACGCATACTAATTACAATTATTCTGTAATGAAGAGTTGGCCCTTCTCCATTTATATGGTTTTACTCAGATCAATTTGGATTTTTACTCTATCCTTCGGGTTGTAACTCAGCACTTTTTTTTTAATAAGCTGCTCTAATTCTAGCCGGGAGTTCTTTAAGCTTCCCTCCAGTATGCTCCACTCTGTTGATTACTTACCTCCAGACACTGCAAGATAATTCAGTCTCACCTTTGTCTTGGGCCTGGAGTCAGGGAGTGACTCAAGGACCCCGGCTCCTTCGCTGAACATCGTCATCCAGAAGCCAAGACTGAACATGCCACGGTGACGTCTCCGCATTTTCCTCAGCGGCTCTATCTGGCTCTTAGTTCACTTACACACACATCTCTAAGAGGGTCTGCATCGCTCTTCCTGGCCATAATTTGAAAAGGCCACGGTCCCCATCCCTGCCCCCCACTCCATCCAGAACCACAGCGGTCGTGCTAGCCCCCCCCCCCCTTTGCTTGAAACCATCTCCCGCCCCTGGTGGGGACAAGGTCCTGTTACTTACAGTCTAGGTTTCATTTGCTCAGCTCTGGTGTACAAAGCCGTCTGAGACCTGTTAGCCCAAACCACACGGAGAAGCAGATCTACCGACTGGAGTGGCGACTGTGAGCGCTTGCCTTGGGGCTGCGGATCGAGGGGTGCTGCCCTGCTCCGAGGTCCTCGCATCCTTCCCCGCCGCCGCCGGTGGGGTCCTCTAACTGGTGATAGAAGATGCGTCTGTCACAATCTGCCTTCTATTTTTCTGCCCACAATGAGTTATTTTTTAAGTTTACAGACAGTAAAATTTGAACTTCATGTCCAGCGTTCCGAGACACTTGCACGCGGTTTGTGTCTGGACAGACGCGCTTCCGAACGCACCCCTGAGCCCTGACCCGGCTGCTCACCTACGGTTTGGCTTTACGAGTGTCATCCAGGTGGCATCAAAGACTCTGTCGCCTGTGCACCGGCCTTATTGAACTCAGAGAAAGGCCTTTAAGCTCTGCCCATGCTGTTGTGTGAGTCAATAACCAATTCCTTTTTATCGCTGAGCCTTATTACAGGACAGGCCACAGTGAGCCTCTGCTGAGCACCTGTGCTGTTTACCAGAGCCGGCAATTAGGAAGCTGCACACGTGTTTCTCTACAGGTTTTCATGTGAACATATTTCCTCATCCCTTGAGGGTAAGTGCCCAGGAGGAGCGTGGAGGAGTTCTGCGGAAAATGTGTTTTAATTGACCAGAAACTGCCAAAGAGTCACTCAAAGTAGCCTTTTTTCTTTTTGCATCCCCAGCAGCCTAATGAGCTCAATTTGTTACAAAAACAAAATCCCTAAAGGGAGACACTAGTAAGAAATTGTGTCCTGACTGTCTGAAAATGGGCAGCTCCACAGGGATGCTGAAGATTGCATTTCCCAGTGAGTCAGCAAACCTTCTCTCTACCAAAAATGAGTCTTTTGTTCTGAGAAAATGGCTGCGAAGGGACGTCACTATCTGGAAAGGAACCTTTGGGGACAAGAAAATAAGCGCGGCGGCCTTGAGTCTTGGGGCTGTGAACCCAGCGTCAGCCTCTGACGGGGATTCCGATTCTCTGGGCTCACGCCTGAGCGTCCACTGACATCATCACCTGCCTGCCCCTAAATCTTCAGGAGTCCCTGGGAGCCACTCCTGGATACTTGGGAGTCATGACAGGGGGTAACAGTGAGCACGGCACCCTGACTTGCCCCCATAGCCACACCCAGACACCGCAGCGCCTGTAGCCTCAGCCTCCAAGTCTCTAGATGCACCACAGGCCACAGGAGCCTGGGAGAGCAACTGCATCAGCAGTTACAGGTGCAGAAGCTGATCCCCAGAGGGACGGCCTGTCCAGAGTCAGTCAGTGCCTTAGGATGTGGCCGAAGCCAGCACCTCAATTCCCCTGCAGGTCTGAGAAGCCGACATCCGCCCCCCTCAGAAGTCCAGAGGCTGCCGCGAGCATGCGGTGGTTTTATTGAGCAGAATCAGAGTCTGCAGCAGTGCTTCCTCCGACCCTTGCACTCCGCAGGCAGGATGGAGCATCCATGGGTTTTTTGGTGCTTGCAAGCACCGCCCATGTTTGCACATTCACGGTTTTGCATCCTCTTTGCATACCCTGTAAAGGAAGGGGAGTAAAAACAAAGGTGTAAAGGCTGTTAACCAAAGCCCAGAATGCACCTGCTCGAGCTCCGAGGATGCACCTCATGGCTCTCCCAGAACACACCTTGTGGAGCAGGACTGGTGCACCCCAATTCATGGGAGCCACACTGGACTCCCGTTTTGATATCACCTGAGAGCATAGCATGGATTTACCTTTTTCCAAATGGTCGTAAAAGATTCAAAGAAAGATATTTGTGGACGCATGACAGGCAGGAAAACCTTGTGTCCACACAGCACATGGAAAGAGCTGCTCTCAGGTTACATCAACGCTGCAGCAGATGGAGCCCGCCGCGCCCACTGAGATGCTCTCGCCCTGTCACCTGCGCCGCCCTCTCGTTCCTTTGCAGACGAAGAAGCCAGAGAGCAGAGAAAGCCGGGCCTGGGCTGCACCACAGGCAGGGACGCGTGCCCTGCTCTCCCCCTGAACCGCGCCCCGGCGTGCCCTCCTCTCAAGGGGGCCGCTCACGCCCACCACTCCTGTCACCACTGAGCCTGCTCGCTCCTCAGCGCTGTGCTCCCTGCTCCCGGGCGCTGAGGACGTTTCATAAAGGGGATATTTTCAAGGCCACAGCCATGGCACGCTGGGGCCCGGGTCTCCTGAGCCCCTGGGCTGAGAGGACGTGAGAAGAGACGAGGCGGTTCCCCGGCAGCATTCAGAGAGCAGGGAGTGGGCAGCAGCTGAGTGCGTCTGCGGGCGGGGCGCGAGCACAGGACAGCCAGCAGGAGGAGACAGTGACCGAGAGGAGCTGCCCAGTTTATGGCTTGAGAAGGCTCTGGGAGGCGAGGCCTGCGGCCCAGCTCAGGCCCTCCTGGCCGCTCACGAGGAGGCCGGCGAAGAGCCATTGTGCATAACTGACCTGTGTAAGCTGCGCGCTTCATGTTCGCACCATAGCTATGGATTAACCTGGGAATATATTCACATACGCTTATAATCCACATCGTCTACAGCCTGTTGTGCAGACATGAACTCCTGCCCCCACCACCCCGCCCATCCGTCCACGCCCTCTGTGGTCTCCGTGAGTGTCAAACAGCTACCGGTCGTCCGGTCTCAGCCTTCCTGACACAGAGCAGGACTGGCCTTGGGACTGGGCAGGGTCGTGAGACTCCTCCCTTAAGGAATTTGGAGCAGAAACAACACATCTCTTCAGGGCCAGTTGTGCCAACTTGAGGCCCCAGGAATGTGCAGGCAGGGTCGCCAGGGTGGCCAGGGTGGCGGCCCCTCCCCCAGCTGCTTCATCTCTAGCGAGCAGAGCACCCCTCCGTCCCGCGCCCCACCCATCAGCGGCACCACCAGACCCTTCCCCTTGGGAGATGCTGCCTGGTGGCCATCACTGCAGCCCTGCCAGGACTGCCAGGTGAGATGCAGGGCGCTCTGCGTGCCGTGCCACACACAGGGGCAAAGTGCATTCTTGCTGACACGCAGCACATTTATTTTCAGGGTTACTGAATGTTCAAGAACAGCTGGATCTTTGGATTCGAGCCCACCTAGGTGCCAGTCCAGACTTCGCCGCGGGCAACCGCTCCGTTTCCACACCCCACCCCTACGTGGGCGCTGAGCGTCCAAGGAGCGCCTGCGGGACTAGGCTGTGCCCAAGGCTGTACTGCCTGGGAGGTGTCCTGGCGTCAGCTGCGGTGCCCGACGTGGCCAGCCGGGCCCTGCGTGTACTGGCCGGCGGGCGGGGGTGGGGGGAGTTTCCCACCCACCAGTTCAGGGCAACCTTGGGGAGCATTTTTAAATGCCTCGAAGCTTCTTTTGCTTTCTTTAAGTGGGCGTCATCGTTTGGCTTCTAGTTTAGCAACGATGTGGTTCAGGTGCCCGCGCCATCACAGACGAGTCCCTCCTCTGCCCGGCCTCGGCCTGGGCCCCCGCCACACCCTGCGGCGCGTCCCCAGCTCACCTGGTGCCGGCGGGCTCAGCCATGCGAGGAGGAGGAAGAGGAGGAGCAGGAGCCTCATGGCGGCCGCGGGCTCTGGGCGGCAGGGGAGCCGCGGCAGGGGAGCTGGGCAGGTGCTGCGACCTGAGTTGGGAGCGAGCATTTGTGGGAATTGGTTTAAGGAGTCACGCTCCGTTTCCACCGTTGCTTGAGGGCTTGCTCCCCGCCCGGGACAGAGCGTGATGGAGATGGTGGGGGGACGGCAGTGTCCACTGAGAGCTTTGGCCGACACTTCCCTCCCTCTCCTTCACGCACTCCCCAGACGCAGGCACCACCCCTCCCTCACCAGAGGGCTCTCCGCCGGGACCCTACCTTGCGGCTGGTGCTCACCCTGCAGATGCTCTCGCTCCCGCCCTCTCAGGGGGAGGCTGAGAGCAGGTGCGCGTGACCGCACAATGAGGTCAGCCTGGCGGAGGCAGAGGAGGGCTGGCCGAGGCCCTGCAGGGCTATTATGACCCCGTGCGGCCAGTCACCTCTTGTGACTCATTTTGCTGGAGGATGTGGCCCGCTAGGCTGGGCCGTATCACGCCCCCTCTGCTGAGGAGGATGAGAGGGGCTGGGCCGCACCGACGCTGCCTCCACAGGTTATATGGAAAAACGCAGCAGGACAAGGAGCCAAAGCTCCGGTGGTTTAGTGCCGCGGAAGCGGGCTTTGTGTTTGGTTTTGGGTCAGAGAGTCACAGAGGGGGGACACGAGGGAGGGCGGGGGGACTCCTGTCTAGAGGAAGCAGAAGAACGAGATCCAAGACTCCCTGGAAGGTGAGCCCCGGTGAGCAGGTGCCCCTGTCCGTGTCCCACGGACTCTCCTCCCTGGTCCTGCTGCCACAGTCAGAAGCGTGATCCCTGGAGCCTCCCGGCACGTGACGCCTGGCAGCTCGGGACAGCACAACCTCCGCAGGGTTTATAGGATGAAACTTGCGAGTGAAGAAAACAATCAGAAATCAAAATCCCGATAGAGAACACGCTAAGGAGCTCGTCACCCGTGACACCAATCACATGTGAACCAGAGAGCAATAAAACAATTCCACAAAGAGCATCAAGGGTGGGAGAGAGAAGAGCGGCCGGCTGAGCGTGGATAAAACCCCTGAGAGCAAGAGGAAGAAAGGCTGATCCTTGTTATGAGCAGAAATTCAGAGTCAGAAACAAACGAAGCTTAAACTGAAAGGAGAGGCCTTTTAGGAGTCAAAGAAAGTAGGAATCGTGAGAAACAGAAAGAAAAGGAGCTGGAGGCAGCAAAGAAGGAGCCGCCCAGCCAGGGGCGCACTGCCCTCGGCCGGTCCCTGCTGCCAGGCGGGGGTCACCAGGGGCGGCCAGTGGGCAAATCTGCGAGCCACGCACAGTGAAGGTCTCGGGGGGTGTCTAGAGCCAGGGGTGCTCAGCTCTGTGGGAGTAGAAGGGGCACCTCCGGAGATCCGTCGCCACCCTGGGTCGTGGGCACCAGCCGCGGGGCTGCTCCAGGCTGCGGCAGGGGAGCGAGGCCCACTGCACCTCCTCCCCTTCCCTGCCAGTGTCCAGACCAGCGAGATCCGCTCAGGTTTCGACGTCGGAGGCCCCTGAGTGTCACTTCCACCGTTGTCCTCTCAGCCACAGGCCCGGGACGGGGGGGGCCCCAGGAGGCTGGCCCGTGCCCGCGAGGGGCGGGTGCAGGACGGCAGGTCCCCTGCCAGCGGCGACTCTCCAGGGAGTGACTGGCCTCCCCAAGGCCTGCAGCCAGCTCCGCCGCCCCGGCGGGGACAAGCAGGGCCTGAGCCGCGGGGAGAGGGACGGGGCCTGGAGGAGTCAGCAGCCCCGGGGACAAAGGCAGGCGGGCGCCGTCCACTCTGCCAGGCGCGGACTCGCCTCCCGGGAACAGAACGGCCTCCCGCTCCGTCCTCCCCACGGGCGTGTCCCTCAGACGGCAGCGTGTCGCCAGGATGCCCTCCGCCCCGCCAGGGGTTTCTTTATTTATGGTCAAACCTGGTGGAGGCAGCTGAACAGACTGGGCGAAAAAGGAAGAATTGGTTGCGGTCATTAAGATATTTCTTTATTTCCCTTTGTCTCGCTACCCTTGCCGTAACAACATGGGGCGTTGCCGTGTTCCCGCCGCATGCTGGGTGAGGAATCAGAGCTTTAAAGAGTTTCCGTGACTAATGCAGTTTTCACTCCCTCCTCTGGCCACAGAACCGTCACAATGACGACAACGATGGCAGCACGTCAGTTGCATTTCTCGCGCTGGCTCCGTGTCCAGGGCCGAGCTCACACTCCCTGAATACTCTCCCGCGATGCTCGTGGAAATGGCGTGAGCCCGAACCCCACAGTCCTCTGCTCTCCTGCAGCAGCTTCCTCCTCCTGCCCTGGCCTGGCCCAGCCAAGGCGCCTCACCCCAGAGGCCACGCTCTCAGGCAAGATTTTGTAAAGATTTGGGAACAATGAGTGGGGCTGTTTGTGCACAATGAGCGAGTTAGCCGAGGCCCGAGAGCGCCCCTGATGTCTGGTGCTGCCCCTCCAGAGCCCTGTCCTGTGCCCTGCGTCCCTCCAGTGCTGAGGGCAGCAGAACCTGCCCCCCAAACGCGCCCTTGGACACAGGATTATGTGGAGCTGAGGACAATGGAAAGACAGCAGATGCCATAAAGGCGCTCTGCTCTCAAGCCTCACAGCAGGCTCTAGTCGCCCACCAGCTCTGAGAGCCCGAAGGGAACCCCCATAACAAGGTGGGAGCCGTGGGCTGCGGGGGGGCGGGAATTTCCAGTCCAGGGGGTTGGAAAGGCCTCGGGAAGGGGGTGGTGGGAGCCTGCAGGGACCTGGTGGGTGTGGAGGCGGCGCACAGAGCTGCAGGGCCAGGGAGGCCTGAAGGCCGCGGTGCTGGGTTCTCCTAAGCAAACCACTCAGCCCACACGGTCTGAGGGCGTGGGAAGGAGAGACGGGCCAGGGAGGGAGGGGAGACTGTTCTCCGTGTCCAGCACTTTAGCCCTCCCTTTCACCGGCCTGTCTGTCTCGGAACAGGCAAGACAAAGACAGACCAGCAGCAATGCACGGAGGAGATGCAGCTCCCCCACCACAGTGGACCCAGGGTGCTGATCCTGGGGTGCTGATCCTGGGGTGCTAAGCCTGGGGAGCTGAGCCTGGGGAGCTGATCCTGGGGAGCTGAGCCTGGGGTGCTGAGCCTGGGGAGCTGAGCCTGGGAAGCTGAGCCTGGGGAGCTGAGCCTGGGGTGCTGAGCCTGGGGAGCTGAGCCTGGGGTGCTGAACCTGGGGAGCTGAGCCTGGGAAGCTGAGCCTGGGGAGCTGAGCTTGGGAAGCCAGCTGACCTCTGTACCTTGTAAAGCCCCCGGTTGTCAGTAGAACCCCACACTGGCTGTGACTGAGGACTCAGGTGAGTCAAGGAAACACCCTCCCTGGCATTTCCTGTGAGCCTCCCGCAGGGACGGCCCCCACCAGCCTGAGAGCATGTGGGGAACCCCAGGACAACCTCTCCTCCTGCCCTGGGTCCAGAAACACCCCCAGCCTGGGGACGCTCAGGAAGCGGGGCAGAGGCTGAGGGCCTGTCCCCAGAGGGTGCGGGCGCCTGGTGCCCAACTGGCAGGGAATCTGCTCTGCCACCTGCACTGCCAGGCCCCGGAGGCCAGTTCCGTCCAAGCCCATCACCCCAGCGCTCTCGGCTCCTCCCTCCTGCGGCCCTGCTGTCGGGTTTCCCAGCACAGGTTCGTGGGGTGGAGGGGTTCGGGCCCTGAGGGAGGAGACCGGGGCGTGGAAAGTCCCTGAACATTTACCTTCATCCCAAAGTGGCAGAAAATGAGGCAACAGGGGTTGGTTTCTCCTCCTCAGAGAACGAAGGGCAGGGAGGGGAAGGTGTGGGCCCGAGTTTCAGGAAGCAGCCGGCCACACCTGCGTCCTCGCCTCTGCGGAGCTGCTGTGTGACCTTCCTGAGTCGACACGGTTCACGCCGTCCGGCAGCTGAGGGCAGGTCGAGGGGGAGCTGCCAGCGCGGCTGCTTCCGCTCCTCGGGGGCCCGGGGCCTGCAGCTCTAGGACAGGGAGGCCTTGGCACCTGGCGCCCTCGGCACCTGGTGCCCACACCACCGCCCAGGGGTCACCTCGTCCTTGCATCGCATGGTGAAGCCCTGAGGGGTCACTGGGTCCCCCGGGCCTGCTCCCCAAGGCTCCGCCTGGCTCCACGCCCTCACTGGCACCTGCCACACGCAGCCGTCCTAGCAGGCGTGCAGTGTTGTCTCTGCTTTTGATTTGAACTCCCTGAGAAGTGACGTTCACCACCTTGTCACACAGCTGCGGGCCATGCACGGCAAGGAAGTGAGCGACAAGACGACCTGCGGACGGGGGAAGTGTTCGCAAGGCACATGTCTGGTAAGGGATCAATGTCCAGAATACACATGGGAATCAGCAGCTCAGCAGCAAAACTACAGACAAGCTGACTTAGAAACAGGCGACGGGCTGAGCAGGTGTTTTCCCAGGGACGATGCACAAATGGCTGCTGGAATTCGGTAGCGAGGCACAGAGCCCGGCCCTGCTTTTGCTGGGGCACCTTAAAGGGGAAGAGGGAGCATCGTGGCCTGACCTTGCAGGGGTCATGGGTGAGGATGGAAAGTCCTGCACCTGTGCCAACCCTGCCTGCATCAAGAGGCAGAACTGGTCTGGGCTTCCTTCCCGGAGGGGAGGGCGGGTCTCACCTGCGGCCTGGTCCCCTCCCCCCTCCCTGTCCCTCCCCTCCCTCCCTCCCTCCCCCCACTTGCCTCCTTCCTCCTAATGAGCCTAGAGACGCCCAGCCAGCCGGCTCTGGGCTCCGAAGCCTCGCCAGCAGCCAGCTGTCTTTGGTGTTGACTGTCTCCACTGCTGCATGTCAGCTTTCCCCGCGTCTTCACCTCGGTGCCTCCCTTTTCCTAGTTCCTTGTTGGGAATGTAGGTCGTGGTTCGGGGAGTTTTCTCCCACTAACTGTCAAAGTTCCTGATCCTGAGACGTGCCCCCAGCCCCGCGCAGCTGCCTGCCCTGCCGTCTGCTCTGCTGCTTTCGTTTTCAGAGTTTCACAGTGTTTTCTCCTTTCTGAGGTGGTTTCTCTCTGCCGCGCTCGCGGGATGCTGACTCACGCCCCTTGTTCGGGTGTTTCCCCAGGCATCGGGGTGGCTGGCGTCTCTGAACACCCGGGGGGAAGACCCAGCGTGTGTGAGTGCGGCAGGCGCGCGTGGTTGTCGATGGTCTCGCTTTCTGGGCACGAGTGTTATAGCTCGGGGAGCGCTGCCCGCACCCCGGTGCACCGTGTTCTGACGTTCTCGGGCGCCGTGGCCCTCAGCTGCAGTCGGGCCGCAGGCTGCTGTCCGCCCTCTGTCTCTTACTGACATCTTGGCTGCTTTTTCTTCTCGCTCCACGGAGAGGAGCGTGGGAATGGCCGGTTGTGACTAGTCATTTGCTTCTCCTTCCACTTTTATCAGTTTTTCCTTGAAACCTCGTCATGAGGCGCTTTCCCACCTGTGGTTTGGTGACTGAGTCCCTCGATCACTGGGGAAACGCCTCCTCCTCCCTGGTGACACGCGTCAGAGCCCCGAGTCGGGGACCCTGGGCCGGCGCAGTCAGCCCATTGTGTCTGCGTGGAATGACCGCTGCCGCCGCGGAGCTCTCCCGGCCTCGCGAGCGTCCTTTCCCTCGCCTGTACCCCCGGCGCCTCGGCGGGCGCGGGGTCTTTCCCTGAACCCACAGTCTCTGCCTCGAAGGGGCAGCGCGGGGCTCCCGGCCCCACCCCGCACGCGGCCCGGCTCCCACCCGCATCCTCTCCCTCTGCCTGGAAAACTTCTTTCGGTGTTTGCTTCCTGCCCCAGGCTTGCTGGTGAGCAGTTGTTTTGTTTTGCGTTGTTGTCATTTAAAATGTTTTTACCTTTTTTATTTAATTAGGCTATTTTTAGAGCAGTTTTAAATTGATAACAAAAGCTAAGAAGGTGCAGAGATTCCCACATCTGCTTGTTACTGGGCAGGGAAAAGGGCACCCCAGATCCCCCAAACTTGCATGCTGTAAATAGGCTCTGCCATCCGCTGCATCAAGACAAAACATGCCCTAGGGGGTAAGACTTTAATGGAAAAGAAGTTTAATATGACGTGTGTGCAGTAAAGACAAGAGAAGGGAAACAATAGATAAAATAGTTTCTGAACGAAGCCCCCCAAGTTACCATCCCCTCGTGGTAAATGCCCAGCCAAACAGGATTGGCCCAGAGCAGGGCCCCTGAGACCCAAAAGGCTGCCCCACGTGTAGGGCGCCTGCCGGCGGGGACCCGCAGGACGGGGGCAGAAGGGGCCAGACAAGTCCGGAAGGAAAAGAACGACCTCAAAATCAGGACAAAGGCTGCCACTGTCGCCTCCCCACGGGGCTCTCACCCACGTCTGCTTCAAGTGTCTCTTTCCTGTCCCCCAAGTCCCGGTACAAGGCCAAGGCCAAGAAGCAAGGGCAGCTTCTTCATGCATCTGCTCCACGGGCTCCTCTGGGCCCCCCGGCTCTCCGGCTGCCTTCCGTCCTCCCCCAGCCTCCTCTCCGGCTTCGCCCCGCTGCTCAGCTCCACCCTCCCTCGGGTGGGACAGGGAACCTGGCACCTCCCCTTTCCCTGGGGACCCCCTGTACATACTCTGTCCTCCTCCTATACACAGCCCCCCACTATCAAAACCCCCCACCAGGTGGGACACTGGCTGTCACTGATGGAGCCGCCTTGACTGACACACCCGCCACCCGGATCCCATTTGCCTTCACTTTTGAAACATTTTCTGCTGAGGTGGGATTCAAGGTCGGCAACTTTCTTTTCCTGCTTACAGGCATCACCCACTTTATTCCCGCTCACAGAGGTTCCGGCGAAGAGTTCCCTGTCGCGCCTCTCTCTGTTCCTCTGCGTTCACTGCCCTCCCCTAGAACTGCCTATAAGGTTTTCCCTCTATCACTGGTTTAAAGTCATTTAGTTGTGACGCGTTTTGATCTGTGTTTACTCTGGACTTTACGTTGGCTTGCTTTGCTTCCCGCGTGTGAGGGTTTATAGTCAACTTTGGGAACCGATCAGCCACTATCTCTGCACGGAGAAGCTCCCCGGCCTGTTCCTTCGGCCCCACACGCGGGGACGGGGGTGGGGGCGTGTGATGTCCCCCACAGCCTGGGAACTGGACGTCAGTCCTTTTCCTTCCTTCTCTTTGCTTTACTTTTCTTTAAAAAATATCAATACAGGGGCCTCCCTGGTGGCGCCAGGGGTTAAGCACCGTGCTGGGAAGCTGTCCGCAGCCTCTGCAGCGCGTGTTCAATTCCCAGCAGGCCAGGGAGCTACCCACATGGCGCCGCAGACCTCTCCTGTCTCCCCGCTGCTCCCCTCAGCAGTGTGTTTCGTCAGTCTGCCTGTTCTGCTCCCCACTCTCCTCTCACCTCGCGCATCTCTGGCCTGCGCCCCAGCTCTTGTATGCATAAATAAATAAATCTTAAAAAAAAATACATATCAACATAGACTCAGGCTTACTGGCCTTTTCCTCTGTGATTGCTCCTTGACTGGAGTTGGTGTCAGCGATGGTGCCTCCCCACCCCCGGAATCGCCCTATGTCAACACTGAGTCGGGGGGTTCAACAGCAAGACCCCGAGTCCCAGGCTGCTCTTCCACTCAGCCGGCTCTGCTGGCCCCGGGGCTCCAGGCACCTCGCTGGGCAGCCCAGAAATGATCAAGAACAAGGCTTTGCCCTCAAAACCACACACTCAGGTGTGCGGAGGGGAACGGGGGAGTGTGCCCGATGCCAACACCAATTAAGACTCAGGGAGGACTCAGGCCGACCGGCAGTGCACCGAGGGCGAGCACGGGTGTGTGAGAACCGGCTGTGTCTGCAGGAAGCAGGTGGAGCTGAGCTGGCCCGGAGGGTTGGCCGGAGCTTAGAGAGAAAGCTGGAAGGGCGAGTATGTCAGGCCCAGCTCGGGCAGAGCAGAGCGGAGGCTGGGCCGCAGCGGCGGGGCCGGATTCTCGTCTCTGAGGTGTAAAGTTTTCAGAAGGACTTGGGCTGACCCCAAGGGGTTCTGTCAAGCCTTAGGAGGAGGTGTGATGGGGGCTGCTGGGGGAGCAGAAGCTCCAAGGCACGGGGCGAGCGCGCGGGGAGCCCTGTCTGCTGGGTGCAGAAGAGGCTCCTTCCTGCTCCCCCTGGGACGCCAGCGTGGCCCCTCAGGAGCCGGGAGCCACCGTGTGTGAAGGAAGGCGAGCCACGGACTTCCCGAGTCGCCTACTTGGGAGCAACTAGTGCCATAACTGGGTTCTTAAAATAACACAATCCGACTTGAATTTTTTTCTGAAAAATAAAACATTTCATTTGCTTTGCTCCAATCAGTGTCTCCGCGCCCCGCCGTCGTGTCCCCGGGCCTCATTTCCTCTTCCGGCAGCACTTGCGGCCCGTGGATGAGCAGCGGCCTATGAGCTCCTCCCGGGGCAGGCAGCTGAGCACGGCGCAGCGGCCGCCTCGCACGTGGCAGTAGTACCTCTGCAGCGTGTTGATGATGCCGCCGCGGCCTGCAACGAGAACGGGGCCGGGAAGATTTCCTGCCGGCCTAGGCAAGGCCGCGGCACCCCCAGCCGCTGCCTGCCGCCTGTCTTTGACTCATTTTTCCTTCTTCTATAGAACCAGGAATAAAGACAGAATAAAGGGCCAATCATCAGGCTTCCACATCTGAACCGCAGTGGCCCGGAAGTGGGGTGACCCCGGGAGATCCCCGGGCCTCCCATCACCCAAAGCCTCTGCCTTCCAGCACTGAGCTTGACAGAGGCAGCTTGTCCTTCTGTCCTCGCATTAAATTGACCTTTCTGGTCGATATTAAAGTTTTTATGTCATGCTGCTTTTTTGGCAGGGGTGACAGTCTGCTCTAAGCCTCCTGGCGCCCTGTCAGAAGCAAGAGGAGACGTCAGCCCCACGCGTCACTCTTCTCCACCCCGAGCTCTCTAAGAAAGGAGCGAGGCTGACCCTGAGAGTTTCACCTCAGCAGCCGCCCACCCCAGCCCCTCACCTGGGACAGGCATCACGAACAGGAAGAGCAAGGCCAGCAGCAGGTGATGGATCCTCATGGCGGGCGCCGCAGTGGGACTGCCGGGAGACCGGCCTGCTCCCTTTTTAAGGCTGGGCTGAGTCTCCAGTGACAGGACGGAGTGGCTGCCATTCCTGTAATGTCACAGTGATGACACCTGACGTAGCTCCGATGCGCCGATGCTCTTACCACACAGCACACACCCACTCACGGGAGTCGGTTACAAACCTAAGGGGTGAAGCAAACCCGCCGCCGGCCCGGCTGTCAGGATGCCCTGCAGGCGCCCAGTTCACCCTGCCTGGCGCGGCCTGCTGCGGGCCTGGGTGGGGAGGCCCTTCCCCTCTGGCAGGAGGCCCAGGACGGGGCTGGAGGGGGTTGTCTGCCACCCTATGGTTGAGGTTCTTCTCCTTTCCCTAAAATCCTGGGGGAGTCTGAGCCCCCGGAGCTGCATCAGCCCACCTGGGCCGTATTCAGGGTCACGGTGCCAGCCACGTGCTCACACCTGAGCCTGCGCAGGTGCACCTGAAATTGATAAAGCAGGTGGGTTTTGAGGTGGCGAGGCGGGAGGGGATGTGGGTTCTGCCCCTGCCCCGGCTGAGAACAGCACCCTAACTGGGTGGGACGGGCTCGCCCATCACTGTCCGTGAGTAAGACAGCACCTCATTGTTCCCCATCTGAGAAAGGTGATGCAGATGGCGTACTGAGGGCTTCCTGGCTGGTGATGCTGCCCGCGGTCAGGGCTGAGCAGCAGCCGGGCCTCTGCTTACTCAGGCAGGCAAGCGGCCAGGGTCAGGCAGCCCTGCCGCGCCCGGCTCCGCACCCGTAGGGCCAGTGGCTCTTCTTCCCGTCCAGTGATTAGACGTCGGTGTGTGGGGTCCAGAAGGGCTGCGCTTGTCACAGACGGCTCACGGGGAGCTGGACAGTGCATTTGTCTGCTGCACCGTGTGGTGTGATTATAGCGGGTCCAGGAGTGTGTTCAGCACCCTGGGCCTGGCAGCTTCTGAGAGCAAACCGAGCATCCATTGCGGTGGGACAGGCCCTGGCTGAGTGTCCAGGAGGCGTCTACCTAGAGCTCCTTGCACTTGTCCCGGTCCTTCTCAGGGAGCTTGGGAGGTGGATAGGACCCGGGGTGGAGCATGGGCTGTGGAAACGCAGGGGACAGGCCATTCCTGCTGGACAGTGGGTGCAGATGGCAGGCTTAAGAAGAATTTGAGTTGATGACACACCATCCATTTGAAATCTAACTTTCCTCTGACTCTCAGATGTGGAGATGAAGCAGAGATGTCTCCCAATGGGAGGGAGGCAGGAGGTGGGTGTGGGTGGGACGTGTTGTGAGTGCAGGAAGCTGCTCGGCCTCATGCGAGACAAAAGACAGTGCCGGCCGGGCGCCACGGAGACTGCAGCAACTCCCAGCCAGGCCAGCGGGCGCGGGACACTGGGCCTGGGGGCCACGACCTTCTCGGGGGGAGCCCTTGGCCTGAGCTGCCCCTTCACGACCAGCAGGTGTTTCTAGGGTATCATCACTGCTTCCTAAGTGTTTTTGGGAACAAGAGCCATTTTTCCTCACCTGCTAATTGAAAGCTGGGGGTAGGCCGTCGAGGCGGTCCCTTCCCACACACAAAATCAACTTGAGGAGCACGTCTGAATTTTAAAAAATATTTTGAAGTAAGGCGTGTTGGGGATAAAAATTCCAGCAGGAGGAGAGGGACAAGGCGTGTCCATTTCTCTAACCCAGGGAACCGAGCGTGACTGCTTTCCTTCTTATCCCCTTTCGTGACGTCAGGAATGCCTTTAGCATCTTCAGTAATGGCGTGACCAGCTTCCCCGCCAGTAGGGCGTGGCTGGACATGAGGCTGACAGAGTCCGAGTGCCCCGCAGCTCCCCGGCCCCGGCCCAGGCCGGGGCAAGGCCTGGCACACAGGGCTGCCAGCTGCCGTGCAGGCCCGGGCTTCCTCTGTGCTGGGCGGGCTGCAGCGGAGGGACGGCAGCCGCGAGCTCTCTTCTTCCCGCTGCGCTTTCTCCTCGTCACATCTTAAATCCTGTTCTTGGAGAATGGAGCGGGTTTGGCTCCACATGACATGGGGCACGAGGGCCAGTTGCAGCCCCGTCATCTGTTCTCATGATGGACTTAGCTCTCTGAGCCTCACGCCCCAGAAACAAGGCGCGGAGACCACAGGGAAAGCTCAGGGCTGACGATGGGAACAGCCTCGCAAGGACCGTGTGACCCCTGAGCGCCCCGTGGCCCGGGAAGCATAGCCAGTGGGGGGCGGTCAGCACGTCAAGGCAGCCTGAAGACTGGGGCGTGAGCGCTCAGCAAGGGCGCTGGATTTCGACCCTTATCTTGACCCAGTGGAATGTGGCTCCCGTTCTCCTCGGCCGTCACTTCATCCCGGCATGGCCCCCTTGCTACAGTGATGCGGACAAAGACAGGCGGTATCCCAGTCACAGGAGAGGAAACTGAGGCCTGGAGGGGTGGAGTGGCTTGCCCGGGCTACCAGCTAGCAGCTGCCAGCACCCCTGCCCTCTGGGCACCACGGTGACTGGGCAGAGATTCACGGCACGGGACGCGGGGAGGGGCAAGAGCTGGCGAGAAGCAGCATCACTGTCTTTCTGTGGCTCAGGTGTGTTCCTCTTGCTTCCGCTTTCCGCCTCACACCCCCGCCGGAAAGCCACCTCACAGGGTCAGCTTCCGCCAGGCCGGCCGGGCAGGCCCCCAGCTTCTTTGGGGGCTTCCATTTCCCGGGCTGTGGGGACTCTACCTCCTCCCTTCCCTCACCCCACTCGCCTGAGGGTAACCTGGAAGCCGGGGGCTGGGACTCGGGGCTCCCCCGGCTGTGCCAGGCTCTCTCTGCCGGGTGTTTGGCCCAACGCATGTACTGAATTCCCGCCCACCTGAGATTCTGAAATCTGTTTCTGTTTCCCTCAGTCTTCAAAATCCGTGCTCCAAGCCAGCGAGTGCTAAAGGCCTGTTACTCCCCCTCGTGCTGACGCCGCCGTATTGTTACCAGCTAGAGTAACCCTGGGCCACACACTGTCCTGAATCCTCTGTGAACATCCTGAGACTTAGCCGTGCGGTGGGATCTTAGATGGCGGGAGTCACCAGCTGCCTCCAACGTGTGCCCTGGTCCACGTGTTCTCACTGCGTGTTGTGTGTGAGGTAATGCTGACATCTGGCCTTATCGCTGTTATTTTAGCTTAATTGTTTCTCTTTGCAAGACTGTAAGCAAAGAAACAGGAGACAAACCCTTTCCCGACTAAAACCACAGATGACCTGTTCTTCTGGAAGGTGACGCGCTCGAGTCCTTGGTGTGGCGCCGTGTCTGGGAGTGTTTTGCTCTCACGGCGCGCCTGGCCTCAGCTCAGCCTTGCTCTTACTCGTCCCACGTTGGGCATTTTTATGCTCATGAGTCTTCTGGGGGTATCTGAGCTATGACCCTTGCCTTAGAAGGGGAGTCGACCCCGCAGAGATGCCTCTGGGTGGGGGGCAGCGGGCCAGGAAAGCACAGGCATTAATTCACACCGAGGGACCAAGTGTCCACCTCCACGAGCCCCTGGTGGGCGAATGCTTCACCTCTAAGCAGCATGTTTCCTTGGCACTTGCATTTTCCAGAAGAGTCACCCACCGGGATCCCACAGGGGTCTCGCGCAGATACTGCTTGGCTTTGGGAAAGGGAATTCAACTGACCCAGTGACCACAGGCCCACCTTCACAGAGAGCCCCTCTCAGCCTGCCTCGGGTCCCACGTCCAAACCCCCTAGTTACCCCCTGGGCGTTCCTTCGGGGGAGCGCCGAGCTCACCTCATGCTGCTGGGATAGGAGCGAGGACAAAAGAACAAGTCCATGGCGGAGAGGGGTCTCTCGGGGCAGCCAAGTAGGGACGGTGCGGCCCACAGTGGGGCTCTTAGGCAGCACCTACTGTGTGTCAGGTGGGGGAGGGGAGCGACTCGTGCAGGGCAGTCCTCGGGCCACGGAACGAACATCCACATCATGCCCAGGCCGGGTCTCGAAGGCCGCGCCTTCCACTGCAGGCACAGCCGGGGCGACCGCCGCCGGGAAAGGAAACGTCTCCTGGATGAATGCGGCTTCGGGGGGGCTGCTCCCCGTCTCTCTCTTCACGGCTTAGATAACTTGAGGATGTTCTCCTCAAATGAGAAACACCAAAAGCGCGTGATTTTAAGAACAGACGTCAAGGCCGTGCAGAGCTCCGGAAGTGCGCGTTCTCGCGCGGCGCGGAGGGACCTTGTGGGCACAGCAGCCAACCGTCTGCGCAGCGACTCGCCACCCTCCTGGCTCTCCTCAGGTCTCCAGGCTGCACCTGTTCTTGCCCCTTTCGCTCTCGTTGAGAGGAACTTTTTCTCTTTTCCAAGCCTCTTCTCCCGACCTCGGGAAGCCGCCCCCGTCACTCACCCCTTTACTCTCTCTCTACGGCGGCTCCTCCAACGTGGCCCCAAATTGCTCTCAACTCTTGATCTAAAATTAGCCTGTCCGCGGCCCTTTCTCCTCCTCACACCATCACCTGCTCTGCTCAGTCACTATCAAATTCCTCAGAAAAGCGGTGCCCCGCCCTTGCCGTCCCCCTGCTGCCTCCTGGCACCTGCCTCAGGACGGGCTCTCCAAGCTCAGCGCCGGCGCCTGCATCTCCGGCCGGTGGCTTCTCGGTTCCGCGGCTCCTAGCCTGACCTCCTTGCAACGGGAGCTGGGTTGCCGCCCACCTGGAGACCCGTCCCTCTATTTCACTTCAGCAGCCAAAACCTGTGGGTGTCTGTGCTCTCCCGGGACCCCGGGACAGAGAAAGAGCGTTTCATCTCCTGCTCGGACCCTGAGCCGTCCTAGCCTAATGGCAGGAAGAGACAAGGTAGCCCCTGAGGTGAAAGTCACGCCTTTGCACTTCTCACCCGTCCTTCTGGTCGCTGTCTTAGATTCAGGGCGGGATGATCCTGTCCACTGACTGTGTGGAAGGGGAAGCTTCAGGAACTTAACGTTCTCACGGCAGGCGCTGGCGGGAGGTGGCCACGGCCACAGGCTGACGTTGGTGCGGCGCACACAGGACGCGCCGCACAGGCAATTTACACCCATTCACTTCTCTTGAATCATGCTTGATTCAGTCAGGCTGAGACAATGATTTGCATTTCACAAATGAGGAAGCCAAGACTTAGGCCGGATGAGGTACCCCGGTGTTATTGCGCACTAGCTTCTCACCCCGAGGATTGCAACACGCAGTCCTTGTCCGTGGGGTCACCAGGCCTCGGCAGGCGAGCGGCCTCGTCTTCATCACCAGTCTGGGGCCACTGTTGCCTGACCTGTGTACCAGGGAGCACATCACCATCCTGGGAATAGCCGGCACCTCGCCGGCACCTCACCTTGCAGCCAGTCTTCCCTCTTTCTGTAACTGTCTCCGCCACTTTCCAGGGGCCTGGTAAGAGCGGGCTGGAAACCGGAGGTGTGAACACCTCGGCAGTTAGTCCATCTGCACTTGGCCTGCGCGGCCCCCGGAGCCGGCCCAGGCGCCCCGCCCGCGACCCCGGCCCCCTGCTCTGCGGTGTGGCGAGCACGCGTGCCCGTCCACGCTCAGCGCCGCCGCGACCCCCGGCATCGCCGGCCGTCCGGGGGGCAGAGTCCGGGGCGTCACCCTCACGGGCAGGGCCTCCCCCGCGTCTGTGTTAATGAGAAAGCAGAGGCCGGCCCTAAGCTGCATCCGCCCTTTGAATAATTGGAGATATTTTCAAACGAGGACACCCGGGAAGAAACACACAGAGGAGAAACAATCCCGGGACAGGTGAGGAACAGGGGACGCAGCAGGTCAGCGAAGGATGTGCAAAAGGGCACATTTATGTTTGAGCAAAAAAGAAGCATCACAGCGAGACAATGTGGAGGATGGGGGGGCGGGGGTGCAGGAGCTGAGAGCTGAGCGGAGGCTCTGGGGCTGCGGCTGCCGGGGGAGCAGAGCCGGGGAAGCAGAACCCGGCGAGAGCCAGAGGCTCCCGGAAGGCCGCGTCCCGGGGGCATGAGTGGGTGAGCGGGAGAGAAGGAAGGAGGAGGGGAAGGGCCCAGGGCCACGCGGGGTGCGGCTGGGGCGCAGCGTGGATGGTGGTTGCATTAAGGAGGAGACACACTTCAGGCGGTGGCGCCGCGCAGGAAAGGAGCTGTGTGCAGAGAGCCAGGGGTGGCATGACACCTCCCGACAGGCCCGAACGCGTCGGGGAATGTGAGGCCTTAGCAGCGAGCACAGCCGTGTCTTCCCAGAGCCCACATCACACCCAGCGGGGCGCGGGCCGACGCCGGCTCCTGAGGGCAAACCCAAGCCCGGAAATTGTCCGTAAAACTACGCAAGGCCGCCGGAGACAGCCTCCCGGCCTCCCACCCTCCCGAGAGCGAGGAGAGTAAGTGTGCACGATGCCTGACCTTCTGTTCACACTTTTACACGCCCAGTGGATTCTTTGGCTGCATCCCACGCTCAACCCCAGTGAAAACACAGCCGCCGGCGGCTCCAGGGTGAGGGCTTCAGGGAAAAGGTGTCTCTTCCAGAAGAATCGTGGTCACCCCGCCGCCAGGCTGGGGCTGGGGTAGAGGGAGAGGGGCATCCAAGGGCAAGAGGCGAAACCCCAGGGAAAACCTTTCACAAACACGGGGCTTCGGCCTTGGCCATGCGTCAGAACCGGTGCTGGAAAGGCCCCTGCTGGCTGCCATGAAAATAGGCAGGGGCGGCCCCGACATGCCACACGCCCCTCGCTGCCCCTGGCGTCCGTCTGGTGCCTGCTTGTGACAACAGGGTGTGGGGTCAGCGCTAGAATCTGAATTTTAAGGGTAGGGGAGGCAGGCTAAGAGGAAGGAAGTGGGTGAAGTCTGAGTTTGGCTCAAAGATTTTGCGAAACATCCAGTCACGGCTTGAGGCAAGTCTTTTTGTCAAAGGTTTGGGAAGCGGGTTTTGCAGCTGGAAGGGGGAGGGGAAGCTGGAGACGACTTGGGGAGCTGAAGCAGCAGTTCACCCTCGCCTCCCGGGTAGAATCCAGGGCCCTCTTTGCAGAAGCGCCCTGGGGACCCTGCAGTGTCAGCGCCAAGAGAAAGTCAAGCCGGTGGTGACGGGCTGGCATGTTTAGCTTGCTCTCCTCTTCCACACTTAAAGGTTTTATCATCACGCCCACCGGCAGACCTGGGGGTGCTGGGCTGGGGCTCTGCTGGCCCTCGGGTTCCTGCTGCAATGATGCAAACGCACAGGTGCGCGACAAGCCGCCGTCCTCAGCAGCCTGCAGACAAACAGGTGTGGGGTTTGTGCAAATAAAAAGCTTTATGAGCAAAGGCAGGTGGTGGTGGAATTTAGCCGGAGCCCCAAGCCAGCCGCCCCCAGCACAGTCATGAGGCCGTGGGGGCAGCGGGGAGAGGTAGCGCCTCAAGATGGCCTCTGGGGACCCTGGCTCCTGGCATTCGGGGTCTCGCTTGGGGGCTGGCCTCACACCTATTTCTAAGAAATGGGATGTGGCAGAAGAGATGGGCACCCCTTCTGAGCTCGGGCTATGCAAAGGCTGGGGCCCGCCAGGCCCTCTCACGCTCTCGCCTGCTGTCTGGAAGGGGAGCCGGTTGCTGTGTTCTGAGCTGCCTGTGGAGAGGCCGCGGGCGCAGAACTGGAAGGCCAGGTCGACTGCCCAGAGAGTGAGGACGTGGTGTTGTTTCCAGTGGAAGGGAACTGAGCACAGCAGATCAACACCGATGCTTTACCTGATTATGTAGCTCCACGAAGCAGACGCCAAACCTCTGTGGTAGCGCTGGAGTGAGAGGCAGCCTGATCCGCCCAGGAGGACCTGCAGGGCCTGTTTCCAGCGCACCGGAGGTCAGCTGGCCTGCATTCCTCCCTTTAGACTGTGAGACTGCTCAGTCCGTCCCCCGAGTCGCTCATCTCCCCCTTTCTAAACCCCCCAGCCTCGCTGGAAGGATGGGCCCTGGCACGCTTTCTGTGACACCCACGCGCCGGTCACTACGCTCCTCTTCCCTCTGGCCATTCTGTGGCCATTATTTTCCCACCAGCAGACCGAGAAAGGTAGAGGAAGGTGTTTCCCCCTCAAAAGAACTGGGAGAGGCGTCTGGTCAACAGCCTGTGAGGCGCTGAGACCCTTAAGAGAAAACCTACAAGGCCCCGACCCCACCGGACACCACGCCAGTGAGCGCAGGGTCGCGGAGGGCG